CTGTTGTACCTATACTTCTTCAAGGTATGTCACAACTTGCACGTGATCGTCCAGCTAAACCTATTGAACATTTGGCATTATATTTACAACAAAACAAAGAAAAATATGGCGAATAATATGTTAATGATTATACATATTTATCGGTCTTGTTCATATTGTCAGATTTCTGTAGAACATCTAGATATTATATGCATTTAGTCATGTTTATGTAATATTCTTCTTTTGTTTTTTTCTTCTGACATTTTAAACAAATCTACTTAGTAGGATAAACTTTTTATGTCATGTTTTTTTCTGCTTCAGATTAAATTCTTACATATATTTAATTAAAATATTATAATGTCGGAAGTTTCAGGCGAAAATCAACAAGCACCAGCTAATACAGGTAGTGAATCCGGTGAAAAAAGTGTTGTAAGTACAACATCAACTGAACAAATGGAAGCTCAACCAGCAACTGAATCAGGTGAACAACAAACATCAAATGAAAAAACAACTACATCTGCTGATACAACAAAGGAAAATAATACAAATTCGCAACAATCAGGTGAAAAAACTAAAACAGATTTATCAACATTACCAACACGGGCTTATCTTGATCAAACTGTTGTACCAATTCTTCTTCAAGCAATGTCTCAACTTGCTAAAGAACGACCTGCTAAACCTATTAGTTTTCTCGCTGAATATTTACTTAATCATAAAGAAAAATACAATGAATAGACAAAAAAAAATGAATATGATTTAAAAAAGAAGAATATGACAATATCATATTTAGACATTTTTCATTGTCGATTGTTCGGTTTTTTTTACTATTGTTCATTATTAGACTTCTCTTTCTCTTTCTTTTTTTTTCTTTTTCTTTTTCTTCCTTCATAACTTTATTTGTTGTGTTTCAAAAACATTCGTCGTCTAGCACTGTTCATTATACTCTTCCTCAAGAAAAAAAGAGAATAAAAAAACAAACATACAAAAAATAATAATAGATATCGCAGCTTAATAATTTGGAAAAAAAACAAAAATTGTTATCATTTTTGAATTTATAAGACAAAATAATTGCAATTCATGGACATATTTTTATAATACTATATACAAGAGTAAATTAAGATAACGATATGAGATAAGATACTTGAATATCAACGAGTAAATTTTATGAAACAAACAGAACATTTCTTTTCAAAAAGAAATTTCAATTCTTAAGCAAACTGAAATAAAATGACTTTTGTCAGTCAAAGTAAATGCGAAAGATCTATTGCAAGTACCTATGTTGGTACGTCCTTGTTGAAGTTTATTGAATTAATCATATAATACTGATCAGAGAATCATCAAGCATTATACTCATTGAAATGTTTCAACAACAAAATATCGAATATATAACGGTTATGACTCAACAGAATTAAAAATTATTTTGTTAACTTATTTAAAACAGTTTTATGCCTGATACATGAGCATGACAAGGAAAATACGTATATATATAAAGACAAACTCTTTCTAAATATATTTCATCAGACAATAAAACTAAATTTTGATAAAAGATTGATTTTTTGCTAACATCTATGATATAGATGACATTGTATCATATCATTTCAGGAAAAATCAATGCAAAGCTTTAGTGTGTCGTTTTCAACTAAACGTTCATAAGAGTATGTTAAGTATCAATACGAATAAATCTTAGAGCCATCACTCATATATCTATACGACTAAGTGAAAGTTGAAAGATAAAGGGACACATTAGAAATTTATAGGCATTGCGTAAAGACACAATATATGCACTCTATAATCTTCGATATGTTACATAGAATTGTACTGTAATATAGATAGATAAAATATCTAGTAATAAATTTCGCATTTTTTATTGCTGATTACAGGAGCTTATCTTTTATTCTGTGAGAAAAATATACATACGCTTTGATCTTAAAATCAATATTGAGATAATTATTAATTATTAAAGATAATTTTTATTTTTACATTTATCGAATGAATTTTTTTTTCTCGATTGCATTAAAGCACTTAGATAAAACAAATACAGATAAATAATTCGAATGAAAAACACATAAATACAAAGATGAATTACGATTTATTTTAACAGAAATCAAAAGCAAAAAGAAAAGGCAAACACCGTATTATTCTATATATAGAATATAGCAATTTAAATATAGACAAAAAATTGGGACTTCAAAATTGTAGATATGAAACATGATATTATCGATAGATTTAGCTTATTTTATGACAAGAAACAAAATGTGTAGAATAATATATGAAATTAAGGACGGAATAAAATATTAAAAATAAAGTATTTTATTTATAAATTTTCTCCATTAATCGTATTTTGTTGTGTTAATTGTGTTTTAAGTTGAGCTACTGTTGTTATATGTTGTTGTTGTAATGCCATAACAAGTTTAATTAAATCTAGAATAAAATAAGATATATTTGAAAGAATATTTTTTTTAAAATTCTAACCATCTTTTGAAGAAGATTGTAGATTATCAGTTGATATTTGATTAGAATTATCATGATCTGTATCATCAGATGATAAATTAAATGTTGTTGAAAGTAAATATGATTCTACATTAGAATTAAGATCATTTGATAATGTTGTTGGACGTTTGGTTGGTGATAAATATTTTAAAGTTGAACGAGAACTAATAAAATTTATATTTATTATTAAATGAAATAAATGTTAAAAATATATTACTTTAATGATGAATCAGAATTTTCAGATTCTAATACAGGACGATTAGTATTTGATTTGTCTATTTTAGAATTTTGATTCTATAGAAAAAAAGAGATTTAAATTGCTTTCAATATATAAATGCTAATGGTTGAATTTTGGTTTTAATGTTCGTCTCGTATGACAACTTTCTCTACATATTACTCTTTCAGGACCACTGATTGACACATATAGACGTTCTGACGTCTGTTTTGTAAAAGTACACTACTTTAGTTTGAAAAGAGAATCATATATCGGAGTGTTGATTTTGCTATAATATGATTCTTTTTTTTCTCTCTCTACAATTATGGTATAGATAACATATATGATATACATCTATGTACTTTCTTTCGTTAACCTTTGATATTTTCCAGTCGTTCTTTGCTCTTTAAATTGTTCTGGAAGTTAGCCCTAGTATTTCTGTTTATTTCTAAGTCCCTGTAAAATTTCCTTGCTCGCCCACTCATATATAGTGAATATTGTTCGGTTTTGAAACGGTTAAAATTCTTAAATAAAATCATTATTCGAAAACTGAAATACAATTAACACAAATAGTTATAGAAACATATTTTCAATTCATATGTACTGATTGACATATGTAATAAGACACAATCTTGTTTAAGTTGATACTATATTTATATAACTATGTGAAACATGATCTGAAACGAATGTTGCAGTGTATAAGGTTAGTAAATTTGTACGCGCGCTCTCCCTCACGGACGCGACCGACAAATCTTTCTATTTTGACCCTGTTATAAACGTGACTGACATAGCTATTGAATTGCACAATAGAATAAAACTATTTTCAACTTTACCTTTGATGATGAAAATATAGAAGTCATTTTTCCATAATTTCCATTCATTAACATTGATTCTCTTGATGTACTTCGTTTAAGATCTTCTGTCATTGAACGTATTTTTGTTTTTGAATCATTTGTATTATTTGCTGATGGTGATGAAATAATATATGTTGTTGATGATGATGTATTATTCGTATGTTGTACACGTACTTTTGGTGCAATAAAACGACGTCGAACAGAACCAAGCAATGAATTATCTACAGGACGATCATATGCTTTCGATGAAGAATACATATGTGTATCATCTCGTTGTTGTTCAATTTCACATTCACGTTTATATTGACTATGATTTGATATAAACTCCATATATGGACGATTATTATCATGTAATGTTCGATATAAATTTTCAAATAAATTCATTTTTGTACGTTCCTATTTTTAAGAAATACATATATAATTAATTTAAACAAAAAAAACAAGAATAAATATAAATTTAAATACTTGATATTTTTGAAAAGTACTTGCTCGACATGAAGCCATTTCTGCATTAATTAATTTTGTTAATAACCATTGTTTAAATATTTGATCACATTGAAATAATTTTGAATAATTTGTAGTAGGACCAAATGATGGTACACTATCACGATGAATAACAGATACTTTAAATTGATTACCATTATGATCTAATGGTGTTATAACAAGATAAACATGTAGAAATTGCGAAGCAATACATTCAGGATTAAATATTGTTTCAGTTTCTTGAAATACAATTGCAACAATATCATTACCAATATGACGTTTACGTTCAAGTTGTTGTCGTTCACTTTTTGAATGTGGTAATAATGTACTAACATGAAACATGATTTCATGATCATTAAATTGTTCATAAATTGATTCAATTCCTGTATGATCAGATTTATTATCTAGACCACCACGAAATCTAAAATAAAATTAGATTTATTAAATTATGATAAACAAAATCTTTTGTTTGTTTATCAAAGAATTTACCCTTGAAAATCTTTTAGTTTAACACGATTACCAATCAAATTAAGAAATTTATCCATAGCAATACTATGTGTTTCATTACTAAATATATCTTCTTCAGTTAATTGATTTTCACGTTGATAAATAATACCAAATTTATGTTTGTTAGATACATGTGATTCATCATATTTGATTAATAAATCACGAGTCTAAAATTGAAGAAAAATAATTTATAAATACATCGATTCGTTTTTGAAATTTACTCCATCACAAAGTATCGGATCAAAATATTCAATATCAGTTATAGCACATTGATCACATATGCGACGTAAAGTGTCTAAAGAAGAACATGATGCTGGTATATCTGATAGAGATTCAACTGATGTTCGTTGTCGAGTTCTAGGTAGAAAGTAAAAAAAGATAATGATTAATTAAAAGATTATATTCAATAACAACTAACCGAACAATTGCCATAATATATCGTTGTTTATCTTGGTCATCTACATATTTACTTGAAATAATAACTGGCCCATAAATATCACTAATACCATACCAATTAAAATGTTCCTAGACAAAATAAAAATAATATTTTATATATCGAATATTAGCATTGTATTTTACTTTTGATTCAAATTGTTGACGATATATTAATGGTTTATCATCAATTTCAAGTCGAGGTGAATATTCATCAGAATTATTGTCATTAGTTGCATGAGTTGTGAGAGAACTTTCAAAACACCATGCATATTCATTCGGAGATTTTGTATTTAAACTTGCTGAAGAATTAGTAAAATGATTAGTTCCCATGGAAACTGTTCGTTGTGGTATTGATGATACATCAAGCATACCAGCTGAACCGACATTAGATGATGAACCAAAGGAACTCTTCAAAATAATACAAAAGAAAAAAAAAGTTATTTATATACATAGATATATATTTTTACTTACTAATTGATCAACTGAAGAAGCAGGAGTCGAAGATGTATGCTGCAAACAAAAGAAAAAGAAACATTGTTAAAAAAAATCAATAAAGAATTTGTCAAAGAAAAAGAAACATTGTTCATATATATTAAAAGACCTACGAAATAATTCTGATTTCTAATGGATAATAATGGTGAGAAATTGAGCATTCGACGAGTAAATAGAGGTGAAATTGAAGATAACTTATCATCTGAATTTGTATTCAGAGAAAGTTCAGTAGTTACTGCTCGTTCACGTCGACGCATATCGATTAGTATTCTGGAATAATATTCAATGTCAAACAAAAGAGAAAGACAACGAAGATCGATTCATATGAAATGCGTTTTTTTCTGCTGTTGCTGCTGTTGTTGTTATTATTATTATTATTTCTGTTTGGTACAATAACAAACAACCATCGATGACAGTCAAGAGACAAAAGAGAGAGAGAGAGAGCGAAGAAGAAAAAAAAGAAGTTTTTTTCTCTGTCTATATTTTTTGGGTATAGTATAGCAGGCGGTGCGCCAAGTTCTGAAGACGTGCTTTGCTTGTCTGATGATGAAAAATATGTGTTCGTCTTTCTGTCTTCTTTTTTTTCTCTTCTCATATGTTACTAGAATATATTTATCTCTATCATCTTATGTCTATGTTCATCATCATCATCGATTTTTTTTCTTCTTTTTTTTCCTCGTTGACGCGACATCAACGACAATAAAAACAGACATACTATGCAATAAACAAGGTCATGTATTACGATTATCTTACTAACTTCCATTTAGTATATTGGCATTAGTTTGTAAATGTAAAGAATTTTATCCTTTCTCGATATAATCTAATTTTAAGCGTAAATATCATATAGATATATATATGGTTTTTTTTGTACTACACCTGAAGAATATACTATTGTAGTATGACTATACAAAATAATGAAAAGTAAAAAAATTTCAATAATAACTACTTACTCTTGTATCATGAGTTGGTATTTGTGTTGTATTATTGATAGGGACTGAATCAGATGCAGTACCCATCAAATTGGCTAGACTTGTACTAATCTAAACAAAAAATATATAAAGAAGATTTAAAAACAAACACATGAATTCATTATATATTATTACATTGAGATATATAAAAGCTTTAAAATCATTAAACATAATCTAACAATAATGGGAAATGTTGATTTAACTAGTTGAAAAGACAATGAAACTTATTTTATTTCTTCTTATAAGTGAATTCAGTTTGACATGCAAAGAAGATTAGAAAGTTATAAGCTCTATGTATATGTTTATATATATAGGGAGAGATATGTATGTATGTATACAAATATGAGACGAATAAAGTTGATATGGTTGATCTAATACGTCGATTCATGTGAATTGATCATGAAACTGTTGAAATAATACTTAAAACAATCAGATAAATTTGATAGTCAATGAAAAGATTTATTTATCTCGATCGAATTAAAAATGAATGAATAATATACTTCTTCATACCTCTTTACTCGATAATTTACGTGAGTTTGGTAGTGATATATCATCGGTTATAGTTGATTGTATTTGTGATGAAGAATCATCTATACCACCTATATTCGTTGGTGATGTTGTTGTTGATGATGACGATTTATGACCACTATTCTTTTTATCTAATTGTTTATGTGATGATATAGCATATGTATTATCATCAATAATCAATTTTTTCATAGGTTCAGTATAATTATTCGATCTTTTATAGGATAATAATGATGGAGTTTCTGTTGGTATTAAAAATGCTTTAGGTGATTGAAGATGATTCTCATCAAAAGTAGCACTTGTTTCAGTTGATGATGAATCATTATCTTTATTAATTGTTGTTGATCGTCCAGGCTTTCGTCTAAAATAAAGATAAAAATATTTCTTAATCAAAACGCTTAGCATAGAAAAATATTTATGATCTCTATCAAAAAGAATTAGTTTCATATATTGTCAATCTCAAGAGAAAAACGATCAAAAGATAAAGAATATATTTTTCTTTGTAATATAATCTTTTTCCGTTAAAAAAGATTACACTAAAATTCAAATATTTTTACATACAGAAATGAATGATAAATGATCTATTTATACAGTGAATAGTCTATCAAAATATATCTGTATAGTTGATGAAAGATGTCGGACGATTGATGATGATGATGAATAAATAGTGGCTACATTTACACAAAGCGAGATCTCATAAATATTATTTTCTTTTTGTCTATATGACATGTTCATTTAAGATGACTTCATATATTTCTCATTCTTAGCATATTTATGTCTTTACATCATCAATATAGAAAAAAACAGAGAATTCTTTATCTTTACTAATAATCACGTATATAAAAAATCGTTTTCATACCTAAATAATATCATTTTCTTTTCCAAAAAAAGAAGTAAAAATTTAATTGTAAGAAGAAAAGTCGATCATTTGATGAAGAGAATAGTCGAATACTCTTATCGTAATAGAGAAGTAAAAGAACATATATATATATTCCCGATGAAATAAATTTATCGTCTATTTTATCAAACTAGAAAAGTCATTGTCGATGTAGTTACACATTCACACTCTCTTTTTTTTCCTCATTTAAAAAAAAATAATCGATTATAAATGTTGTTCGTCTCCTTATTTTTTTTTTTTGTATGGTAACTTGTTGTCGTTGCAATACCTAATAAGTCAGCTACATAATTGCTCTCGTACGAGACTACGATAAAAGTAAAAACGTTTTATTTATAAAAGAGTGCGAATGCCGTTTGCATTCACTTTTCTTTCTTTTTTTTTCTTCCGTAAAATATTGGTGATCGACATCGACTCTTACCTAGATTTTTTTTGCTATAAGAACTAAGAAGAAAATTAATGTAGATAAAAATCATACTTTCATTCTTTACAAGATTTTCCTATTTTTAATAATGATTTAATTTAAAATAAATGATATATTTATTATTTTGTACAAAAATATTCTAATATGTATTGTAGTGAAATAAATTCGAAATGCATCCGTTTATTAATTTTTATGTAGGTGTTAAATTTATCACGCAATATGACTTAATAATTTTTTTCTAAACATATATTATTTCTTTTAAATACTCTAGAAAAAAAAAACTTGCTTTCTTCTCCGAGTCTTTTATATAATAAATGCATTAATTTTCTTTTGAATACACTTACCGTTTTTCCATGTTTATAATCGTTAAGCACGTGTGTTATATATATTACTTTTTCTTCTTTTGTAACTTACTTCCACGTTTATGATACAAACGTGTTATAATAAGAATTAATAAAACGAACAAAGTAACATCAACATCTTTTTTATACTATCTGAATGCTTACGGCAACATTGAATCTATTTATTAGTAGAAATAGAAGAAGAAAAAATCTGCACGATGGAAAACTATGTTTACTATCTTCTTTCTTTTTTTTTCTAAGGCAAAAAAACAGAATATATTATGCTTGAACACAAAAAATAGGTTGTCGAGCACGATAGTCGTACTATAAACGACCTCAACCAAAAAGAATCACATACTTATACACTAGTATAAAGAAAACTAGGTAGTTTTTAGAGAAAAAAAAAGATGTCACGTACATGTAACAATCCAAAGGAAATAATTTAGATTGATTTTTATATTATTATTATTATTATGCTGAAAATAGTTTGGGAGATTTCTGTTATTTATTACTGTATTAGAAATTAATACTTTGTTATTTTACTTACCTTGCTAAAGCACATGATGTCAAATGACGTATCGATTGTCTAAAACCAGCAGACACGGAACGATTATTTCTAATCAATGATTGTTCTTGTTGTTGTTCTTTTCGTTTTTGAGCACTAACATCATAACTTCGAACAAGTTGAACTGGTTTATGTTGCCTATATTCATTTTTTTCTTGATGTAAATCACCAGTTGTTTGTGATGGCTGCATAATTATTTTTTTTTCTTCTGTATGAATTGTTGATTTTTTATGAAAACATAGATATCTTAATAGAAATATAATTATAATGTAGATTTATAAAGAAAAAAAAAAGGCAAAGTGTTAAAATTTGAACGACAAAGAAAAAAAAGGTGGAGAGACACTAAGCTTACGTTTTTTTTTCATATTAAACTTCAATGTTTTTTATACTCAATATATTCTACTTTATATTAATCTCATTTTTCTTCCTTAATAGTTTTTTCTTTCTTCTTCTCTATGAGTAAACATTTTCATATTTGATGAGAAATATGAATGAATCATAGATGATGATGATGATTAAAAGAAGTTGAGTAATAGTGTCAACTTATTTAAATTACTAATAATATATAGTACAGTGCAATTTTGATTAATCAAGAAGATGAGAATATAAGAAAAATAATATCGTAAAAATTCTTATGTGTCAGCAAATGCTCTAGTTTACAATTTAGCTTCAAACCTAATACTCACATATATATATATATATAAAATAATAGGTGATTATGTACTTGTAGATAAAAAAAATGATGAAGAGAAAAAGCAAAGGAATGACAATATATATATAATCGAAACATGTTTCTGATCTCTTTTTTATTAATAGGACATAAATCTATCATTTGAACTATTACAGTATCTATATAATTCTATTTAACTTATTTATACGTGCTTAAGGCATGTTTAGATTTATTTTATATTCGACAAATTAATAGGTTTTTTTTTCTCTCGAGAGTTTATATGTCATATATTAAAAAATCAAATCATCCTATTCAGAATAACTTTCTTAAACTATTGAACTTTTCTATAACAATAAGGGAAAAAAATGTAAGTAATGCTTTTTAGTTATGAAAAAAGGAAACCAAGATACATGGTTCACTAAAATAGCTTTTTAATTAATAGACATTATATTTCTTAACACCTATCGTATACTCCTACTTGAAGATGTGACGTCAATTGTATCATAAATCAAAATAGTTCATCAAGATTCTATGTTATTATCAATTGGCATGTATAAAACAAAGCAAAAAAATTTCTGCTGTTTTACCTTTATTTTTTCTCAACAAAAAAAAATGATATATATATAATGAACATTTAGTTTCTACATGAATCATTTCTTTGATTTTTTTTCTCTTCTATTTTTTTATAGCACCGCTTTTTTTCTCTTCTATTGTGTCTCATTCAATATGCAACTAATTATGCTAAGGACTTTTCACGAAGAATTATAAGTAAATTAAGTAATATGTTTGCGAATAATTATATTATTGTGTATATATATAGATGCATTATAGTAAAAGAAAGAAAATTATTTTCACACTTTTGTAAGCATTGATTGAAATGATAAATTTATTCCGTAGGCTTTTATTAATGATAGATATTGTTTTATTCAAAAAAAAAATTATTGGTATTTCTATACTAGCCAAATTGTGTAAATATCTTTTAAACATCGTGCCAAGAATTGCTAGATAATAAAGACATTGATACTTACTTCATCGATTAATATTTGTCAAAAAAAAGGAATTTTCATATGTCATGTTTAGCATATCAATATAGAAAACTATGCTATTATTATTATTATTATTATTATAGACAAAATGAAGATAATAAATAGTTTGAGATATGTGACTTTATTATGTGATAATACGTTTACTGTTCTATAAGATAATAATATCTGTAAGATATGCTGACGAATGATATGAGCCATTCAATATAAAATCAATGATAAAATAATGATGTATGATATATGTCTATAGGCTTGACTCGATTCCCTTTATCTTACCAGAAATCATATCTTACGATATAATTCTGCGCATGAATAATATATATGTATGCATGCGGATTTTGTAATAATTTAGCATTATTATTTAAAATCGAATTTTCATTTGGATTCAAGCTATACTAATTGATATAATTTAAAAAGTAAAATTTATTTATTTGTTATATTGAAGCAGACTGATCTATATCAGACAGATATTCTTCATCTATGTCAGTGGCGGATTTAGGGGGGGGGCGACGATGATGATCGCCCCCCCTTCCAAATTCGTTTTTGATTTTTCACAGCAAAAATGAACGAAAAAATAGGTTCACACTACTTCGATTGGGTTCAAAAAATAGCTTTTAGCCAAAATCGCCCCTCCATACTCATAAAAAAAAAATTGAGCCCCCCCCCCCCCTTCAAAATCCTAGATCCGCCACTGATCTATATAGAACTAATTTCAAAAAGTTCTATTTATGTTTAAGATGTATTTTATTATAACTTCTTTTATTCACGTCATTGAATGAGATAGAGAGGCATCTATCGAAATCATTTTTTCATATTACTAAAATCTATTAAATCTCATACAATTCTCATTTGAAAATGATGGAAATTTCTATATGTTAAACAAACAGTAATAGTATAGTCTATTTTAAAATGACGCATCAGTTCTTTTTTCTCTGACAGAAGAAAGGAAAGAGACAAACGCTAAATTTAAATATAAAGACATATTCAAACAAAGTATTCGATATATACTTAAACAGAAAGAAATAGACAAACGTCGTTTCATATCTAGTTACTATTATTCATTTTTAGATTTGGTGTATAAACAAACAATTTGCTTATAAAACGCTAATCCCACTGAAGACGTTGTTTTTTTTATAAATGGCGTCTTCAATGAATAAATCTATTAGCGATGCACCAAATAAAGATGAAGAAACTTATCAACTTCTCGAACAACTTGACCACATTCTTAAACGGCCAGAAACTTATATTGGTTCAAATAAACCATGTCATGAAGTATAATAGATTTTGTTTTGTTTTGACATTCTACAATTATAATTCATAGGAAATGTGGATTCTTGATGAAACAGCTGAAGAAGGACCAAGAGTTGTTAAAAAAGAAATTACTTATGTACCTGGTCTTTACAAAATTTTTGATGAAATTCTTGGTAAGAATACTTAATAAAATTCAAAAATTATCATTTACTATATTTCATTTAGTCAATGCTGCTGATAATAAACAACGTGATACAACAATGACTTCCATTGAAGTAGATATTAATCAGTGAGTAAAATTTGTTTTTGTTATTTCTAATTATCAATTCTATTTGTTCAAGAGAAAAAGGTGAAATAAAAATTTGTAATGATGGTCGTGGTATACCAGTTCGTAAATGGGCACAAGATGAATCAATTTATATTCCAACATTAATCTTTGGTAAACTTCTGACATCAGATAATTTTAATGATAATCAAAAACGAATTACTGGTAAAATTTAAATGTCTCAAAAATTATCAATCATTTCTTTTATTATCATACATAGGTGGTCGAAATGGTTACGGTGCAAAAGTAACAAATATATTTAGCACAAAATTTACCGTTGAAACATGTTCAAAAGAATATAAAAAATCATTTCGACAAGTAAATCTATCTGGAGTTTTTATATATATGTATAAATCATTTCTTTAGACTTGGACAAATAATATGCGTGATCCACAAGATGCAATTATAAATAAAACAAGTGATAATCCAAAAGAATTTACACGTGTTACATTTTCACCGGATTTAAAACGATTTCAAATGGATAAATTTGATGATGATCTTGTAGCATTATTTAAACGACGTGCTTATGATGTTGCTGTATCAACTGGCTGTAAAGTAACACTCAATGGTAAACGTATTCCAGTAAGATTAATTCTTTTTTTATCAATTGAGAAAAATCTTTATTTTTAAATTAGATTAAAAATATGAAAGATTATATGTTAATGTATATTGAAACAAATGAAAAAGAAATTGTTTATAAAAAAGTGAATGAACGTTGGGAAGTTGGTGTATCAAAAAATGATCATAATAATGGTTTTACACAAGTTAGTTTTGTTAATTCCATCTTAACATCAGAAGGTGGTAAACATGTTGATTATATAACTGAACAAATTTGTCCAAAACTTGTTGAACATATAAAAAAGAAAAGTAAAACAGCTGGTGAAAATCTTAAACCAATGCAAGTTAAAAGTCATTTATTTGTTTTTGTTAATTGTTTAATTGAAAATCCTGAATTTGAATCACAAGCAAAAAAACAATTAGCAACGGAACGGAAAAATTTTGGTTCAACTTGTACATTAAAAGATGATGAAAATTTTTTTAAAGATATTATTAAAAAAACTGGTATTGTTGAATCAGTTATTAATTGGCTTGAACATAAACAAGATGCGAAATTACAAAAACAAAGTGGTTCGAAAACATCAAAATTAAAAGGTATACCGAAATTAGATGATGCAAATGATGCTGGAACAAAAAATTCACAATCTTGTACATTAATTGTAACTGAAGGAGATTCAGCTAAAGCACTTGCTGTAGCTGGTCTTGGTGTTATTGGTCGTGATCGTTATGGTGTTTATCCATTGAAAGGTAAAATGTTAAATGTTCGAGAAGCAACAACAAAAAAAATGACGGAAAATAGTGAAGTATCACAATTAGTTAAAATTCTTGGATTAAATTATGGAGAAAAATATGTGAATAAAAGTGATTTATCAAAATTACGATATGGAAAATTAATGATTATGGCTGATCAAGATCAAGATGGAAGTCATATTAAAGGTCTTGTTATTAATTTTATTCATTATAAATGGCCAAATTTACTTAAACATGATTATATTGAAGTTTTTATTACACCAATTCTTAAAGTAAGAAATATTAACAAATTTATAAAAGTAGTTTTTAGAAGGTACATTGCAAAAGAATAGATTCAATACACTAGAATTAGAGCGTCGTTAAGATCTGAAATTAATAAAGTATGGTAAATTAGATTCTCATTGAAAGTTTTCGAATGTATCAGACTGGAGATAAGAGAAATTAGAAATACTTATCAAGAAACCTATATTTCATTAATTATTCAAGGAAAAAAAAGTCGATTAAAACTGTATTATGAAAGGAAAATGATAGCATCATACAACAATTATCGATTGAGTGTTCTTTCTATGTGCGTTTTCAACGAGGTGTCCAGGGCAGCGGGGCGTTACGCCTCCCAGTCGGTACGCCTCTGACTGTGTTTTTCATACAATCGATCCTATTTAACTTTTTAATGATCAGTAATAAGTGTAATTATTGAAAAATCTATCGGATTGATTATCATTCTCTAGTACCCATTCATTATATAATCGAATGAAAAATCTAAATTGATTTATAGGTCACAAAAGGTAGTGATGTCATTCCATTTTATTCAATGCCTGAATTTGAACAATGGCAAGCATCTACACCAAATTGGCAAAAATGGAAATGCAAATACTACAAAGGTTTTTTTTTACTTCCTATGTTTCTTTGCATATTGAACATTATTTTATCGTAAATGTCAGGTTTGGGTACATCTACAGCTAAAGAAGCAAAAGAATATTTTTCTAATATGGATCGTCATCGTATTTTATTTAAATATGATTCAATAAAAGATGATTTAGCTATACAATTAGCATTTAATAGTGCATTAGCTGATGATCGTAAAGATTGGATAAAATGGCATACAGAAGATGTTAATCAAAAACGTCGAGAAAATTTACCAGCTGATTATTTATATAGAAAAGATACAAAACAAATTAGTTTTAATGATTTTATTAATAAAGAACTTGTTCTTTTCTCGAAATCGAGTACTGAACGAGCAATTCCAAGTATTATGGTAAATAAATTTATTAAACGTAAAAGAAATTTTTATTCCGAAAAACAAATTCTAGGATGGACTTAAACCAGGTCAACGTAAAATCATGTTTGTTTGTTTAACAAAAAATTTAATACGTGAAATTAAAGTTGCACAATTATCTGGTAAAGTTGCAGAAAATTCTGCCTATCATCATGGTGAACAATCATTAACAAATACAATTGTTGGTCTTGCACAAAATTTTGTCGGCTCAAACAATATTAATTTTCTTGTGCCAGCAGGTCAATTTGGTACACGTTTACATGGTGGTAGTGATGCTGCTTCAGCTCGTTATATATTTACTCGACTTAGGTAAAGAATGAATAATACATTTATAGATATATATAATAATCCTTTTTTTTAGTCCTCTTGCTTTAGCATTATTTAATAAATATGATGAACCATTATTAACATATTTAAATGAAGATGGTATGAGTATTGAACCTGAATGGTATTGTCCAGTTATTCCAACTGTTCTTGTTAATGGTGCACATGGTGTTGGTACAGGTTATTCAACTGATATACCATCATATAATCCATTAACATTAAGTAATAATATGAAATTTTATATACGACAAGAAAAAGAAAAACGACGATTAGCAAATGATCCAACAGAACAACCAAAACAATATTCTGATGTTCTTACATTAGAAGAATTAGTTCCGTGGTATAAAAATTTTACTGGTGAAATTAAATTATTAGATAACGATCGTACACGTGGTGTTATTAATGGTGTTTGTGCAAAACTTGATGAAGCATCAATTGAAATAACTGATTTACCAGTTGGTACTTGGACACAGTATTATAAAGAAAATGTACTTGAAACTATGCTTCATCCAAAACGAAATGATATTCAACCAAGTATTCTTGATTACAAAGGTAAAAACAATTTATTCAATCTCAAGTTTCGGAAATCTAATAAATAAATTCTTTCGTCTAATTATTTAGAGTATCATACTGATACAACGGTTCGTTTTGTTATTAAATTATCACAAGCACAATTTGCTAAATTTCATGAATCAGGTCTTCATAAAAGTTTTCGTTTACAAGAAACATTTAAATTGACGAATATGGTTCTTTTTGATCATCATGGTATATTACGTCGTTATAAAAGTCCGGAAGAAATTTGTCTGGAATTTTTTACTGTTCGTCTTCATATGTATGTTAAACGAAAAGAATATATGGTTGGAACGTTACAGTCACAATGTTCGAAATTAGATAATGTTGCAAGATTTATTAAAGAAAAAATTGAAAATATTATAATCGTTGAAAATAAAAAGATAAGTGCAGTTGTTGAAATGCTTATAGAACGTAAATATGATCGAGATCCGGAAAAAGTTTGGCGTGAAGAAGCAAAAAAACAAGTAAAATGAATTAAATTTATGAATTTATTCGAAATAAATTTATTTATTTAGTTTGCAGTTGATATTCAAACAAACAATGGTAGTGATAATCCAGATCAATTAGCTGATTTACAACAAAAACAAGAGGATGATGAAGAAGATGATGATGATGATGACGAAAGTAAAAAACCTAAAGCAACAACATCATCAACAACAAATAAAATTGATACAACATATTATGATTATTTAATTAATATGTCTTTACGTAATTTAACAAAAGAAAGACGAAATGAAATTCTTCGAGAACAACAAGATAAACATGAAAAACTTGAAGCATTATTAAAAAGATCTCCAGAAGATTTATATGAAGAAGATCTTGCTCATTTCGAAGCTGAATATCATAAAGTAATTCATAATTGTATATCTTCGAAAACTGATACTGATTTCATAACAACAGTAGCATGTTTGAGTAAAATAGCTTTTTACCATTAAACTAAAGGATTTCAAATTATCAATATTTCATAATATATGGATATGTCCAGTCTAACCGGAGGCTCCAATTGTATTTTTTTATCATGCTGCTTCTTTAACATATAATACTCATAAAGTGTCGATGATCTGTCAAGAATAGGAGGTAGTCCAAATATAGACTTCTTGCCTTTGGCGGCTAATTGACACCATACAAGTACTATAACTGGTAAAGAATCATATTTATATTATATGTTATCGAAGTAGTACAGTCAAAAGAAGCAATTGGAACCTCCAGCCAGAATGGGCATTTCCATATGTATTGACTAATGTTCGTTAGATGAAGAATATTTGGATTTAAACTACGCTCTTGTTACTTTGAAAATATTTTTCATGTCTAACTCGTATGATAATTATAATTTGCCGGATTCTAAATTTTCACAGTTATTCTTGAATCCATTGGATAAATTCTAGTATAAACTGAGATACTTAAAAAGCACATAAGATTTTGATATCTTAGTTAGTACATATTAATATTTAAATTTGAATATCTAGGCTATTGCAAAAGAACGTGCTGATGAAATGTCTGAAGTTGCTCATTATACAACTAAAAAAGTTGGTGATGGTGGTCGTAAAAAACAATTAGCTAAACCACAACGTGCTGAAACAAAACCTGCACCAAATGGTCAACGTATAGTACCTGTTATTGATCCAGCATTTGTTAAGAAAGTTGCTGAAGAACTTGCTAAACGAAATCGAGTATGTTTAAAATCTACTTATTTTTTAATTTCTAAAAACCAACTATTGATTTAGGAAGAAAAAGTTACTGCTGATAAACGAACAATTATTGATTTTCTTGTTAATGAAGGTATTTCATCTGATGAAATAACTCAAATAATGCAAGCTCGTTGTAAAGAAAAAAAGAAACTTGGCGGTACAACAGGTTTTATAATAGTTTTCTCTTCTCTTTTCAAATTAATAATACTGATTTCTTTTAGAAAAAAAATCAAATGAAACAACAAAAGAAAAGAAAATGGATGAAAATAGTAATTCATCAATAATTTCAATGGAAGGAAAAGATAATTCTAATGATGATGTTAAAGAAGAAACATCACCGAAACGTATTCCTAAACGTACAGTTAAAGGAAAAACTATTAAATATGGTAGTGATAATGATGATGATAATGAAAATCAAGAAAATGAATCCGATTATAATGGCAGTGATTCTGAAAGTGAAATTAAAATCAAAAAAGCTAAACCAAAACCAAAAGTACAAGTAAGTGCCTAAACATCTTTTGTAAAGAGATAAAAATCGACCTTTCTTATTTTAGTTAGCTGAAAAAAATGCATTGAATGTTCTTATGCAAAATCGACAAAATAAAGATGAAAATAAAACGGAAAAACCAAAAAAACCTCGAGTATATATATCAATATTTATTACATAAGATTCCATCACAATTATTATTTTAGGTTAAGAAAGAACCAGGTGCAACAACAACAAAAAAAGAAACCGTTAAAAAAGAAACTAAAACAATCAAACGACCAAAACCTTTAGCTGTAAGATTAAAATCAAATGTTTAGAAACGATATTTGAATTATTTCTTTATAGGAAAGTGATGATGAAGATGATATTGCTATTCTTTCAACATCACCCGTTGGAAATAAAAAAGTAGATGTGTTTTTTTTGACATGTTTAAATAATTTCCCTTTTTCTTCTTCTTCTTCTAGGCTCGTATACAACGTGATAAGACAGATAAGAAGAATTATCATATTTCAGATGATGACGATTTTGATTAAATGTTCTTATGTTTGTTCTTTTATCCAAATATGTATGTTAGATTAGTCAGATAATGAAAAAGAATTTAATACATGTATGAAGAATTTCTTATTTTTTTTTACATTAAATATTCATTTGTTTCTTTTCTCTATGTTCTTATTTTCTTTATATGTTTATGTGTAATCCTATTTTCTTCTTCTATAATAATAAAAATCAAACGAAAGTATATATTCATTTTACATGATTGAAACATATTAATGAAGAGAATAGAATAAGAAAAAAAAGAAAGAAAGAAAGAAAGTAAGAAAGAGAAGGAGATAAGTTTTTTCTTTTTGTATTGAATAATGGAAAATAGAAACAAACGATATTCTTTTTTTTTCTTCTTCTTCTTTCATACGAACAAATAGATCACACGGAAGATCGTTTGACACTGGCATCGAATCGAAATGGAATCATCTCGACATCTTGTCGAAAACGAGATAATATTGTTTTTAATTTCGCTTGAGAAATTGTTTTGTCAAAATCATTATTATTATTCACATTTGTTGCTTGTTCTTGAGATAATGATGGTAGTTTTAATGAATTAGTTGATGTGGATGTATGAACAGGATGTTGAATAGATGAAAATGATGGTGGTGGAGGATCATCTAATGATGTTTTAGCTGAAAATATTGATGTAGCAGTTGTCATTGGTGGTGATTTTGTTGGTGAATGTATATGAAAATCAGTATTGGACGGTTTAGCTACTGATAAATTTTGTTTTGTCGTATTTGAATCAAAACGTTGCATTGGTACAAGATGAGCAATTTTTCCTGGCATACGACGAACAGTAAATTTTTTACGTTCTCTTTTTCGACGTATAAAACATGCACAACAATGGCATGGTTCAGATTCTGGTGGTGTTAATTCAGCTGATAAATAATCAAATTGATCAGGAGTTAAAGATGGAATAAGTGTGCCTAAATAAAAATTAATAAAATTCTTGTTTTTTTTCAGAAAAACGAAAATTATTTTATACCATTTGCACTAATAATATCACTACCAAATCGAAGTGAACTACGTGCTACAGCTGATTGAATCTCTTCTCGACGTTCATCTTCAGTATTCATTGTTAAAAATCTTAATACAAGTAAATTCATTGATGAAGCAACAACTGTTAAACCAAATAAAATAAATGTCATAGATAAAACTACATAAAAAACATTGGAATTTAATGCTTCATTTGTTTGTAAAGCAACAAAATCACCAAAACCTATATAGAAAAATAAATTTTAATATTATAGAAAAAAAATTTGAAATTGTTTTTACCAATTGTTGTTAATGTTATAAAACAATAATAAACACAATTAAAATAACCCCATGATTCATAATGATGAAACATAGCGGCACCACCTGTAACGACACCAACAGCAAGAACAGTACCAACAATAACAAGTTCAGTTTGTGTTGATTCATAAAAACGAAATTTGAAACATTTTTTTATTGTTTTTATACACCAACTAGCAAAATTATTCAGACGTTCACCAACAGATTGAAACATAACAAGACAAAGTGGAATACCAATAACAGCATATAGCATACAAAAAGATTTTCCCCATACTAAAATTCAAATAAATATTTTTTTCAATGAATTTTTATTATGAGAACTAACTTGTAGTAGGACAAGAATGACCGTAGCCTAAAATAAGAAGAAAAAAAAACAAACGTTAATTTATATTTTGAGAAAATCTCGAAATTATATCGATATATAGTTTTTTCTTTTCTTTTGATGACAAAGTAGAGTCGCTTCTTTTATGAATCGATTGTAGTTTCATTAAAAAGAATGTAATAGATTTCTATATGAATCATATTTCAATATAATAATTTTTTACAATTAGATTACAAATAGACGAGAAACAGAGAGAATGTTATAAGCTTTTTTTCCTCTTTCGAATCTTTCATATCAGCACTATGGATCTAATAAATGTCGAACAAAATCATCAAACTGTCATTAAAAAGTCAAATGTATACATTAGAGAACTAGATAACAGCTTTTTCATTAATAAATATATATATATACATAAATTTTTTTCTTTATATTGATTTTTTTTTCTCTTGAAAATCTACGCATCTTTATATTAGATATCTTGCGGTCATAATAACTTTTTATTGTGCTATAATCACATAAACCAAGGTCATAGAAAAAAAAAAGAAAAACCAGAATCTTTGTCATATATATATATATCTATATATATAAAGAACATTCTTGTCTATAGATGTTCGTTACAAAATTCTTATTAACAATAAGTAATAATACATTAAACAGACCAATGATTTCCGCATCATCTCTATGTCATTACCTTGATATGTGTATATATCTATATGTGTATGGAACATGACACTCATTCATTGACGTCATTCGGAGAACCCCTATCCTATCACCATGATTTTGACAATTATCTTTTTCTCTCTCTCTCTCTCATTCTCTCTTTTTCTATCGACAGCCAAATATATTTGTGTGACAGGACGCACTCAACAGAGTCTAATGAGTCGAACGTCATTGGTAGCAGACGAGATCTAGGCTTTCCCTCTATTCTATGTTGTAAAAACAGAATGAGATTCGTGCGTGTATATACAACAGAGATTAACAAAAATCGTTCATGTCCCACCCATCATCTTTTTTCCTTCTTTTCCTTTTGTCTTTGAAACTAAAAAAATAAGCTACAATCAATTGTAGCTAGAAATTAACAGTAGGAATGCATAAAAACAATTGAAAAAAACGCAAATCTTTCTTCTTCTTCTTCTTCTCTTTTTTATGTTTCTAAGATAATGAAACAAAATAAGATGAAAGCGAGAGAGAGAGAGAGCGAGAAAAAAAATGGATGAGATTTCTTTTTTTTCCCCCGTACTACAAATATATTTGTGTCACATGAATATATAACAAAATTTTTTAATCAGTAAAAAAGAAAATATGATAGAATCGTGAATTGTGTTAATTGGCACGCAATGAGTACCTTATTTTTATCATTTCTTTATTCCCACTAGAAATATATATATTTAAGTAAACATTTGGATCGATATAGAAATCGTAAACAAGGAAGAAAATAACTTTGATTAAAGATTGCCTTCTTAAATAGCAATATTTATATAAATATACTGATTGATATATCCTACCTATTGTTGTTATAACAGTTAGAGAAAAATAGAATGCTCCAGGAAATTTCCATTGTGCACCAGCTTTATGTGGTTGATATTTAATAACAATATCTTCAAGTTCAACATATTCATGATGAGATATATTATAAGTATGGAGCATGCTCGTTTCAGCCAATTGATATTGTTTGCGCAACAAATCTTCTGTATTAGATTCGAGCGCGTCAAATATGGCCGCACCAACGAGCAAATAGCTGAATTATAAAAATAAAACAGAAAAGAATACGTTGTTTTTTTTTCAAACGTTTTACTCAATACAAACCTGAATGTTGAAACAATAAGTGTTAATGTACGAACGTTCTGTTTTTTCATACTCGCATCATCAACGCACTGACTCGGCCAGCATCAAATTTCCGGCGAGAGTACACGTGCGAATATTAGTTTTTTTTTGGTTATTCACCGGGTTAATTTTATCCAATCTTTGTCTTATTTTTATCTATTGTTCTAGTATAAGTAATTGAACACACGATAAAACCTAAAAATAGTTGTTGAGTATGAACAAATAAATGAATGTCAACAATTGAGTTCAATGACAACGAGAATAAGTTTGTTGTACGTCTGTAGGAGTTAATCGAATAGAATGATGATCACGAACGGTGATAGTAAACTTAGTATTGTTGGAATGATCACAGAAGAAACAAGAAACGACATACATCACAGATGACAACGAGTTGCAGTAATACAAGCAGGAAATCGGCGCTGCAATGATGGCCAATGTCGATGAGACGTAATAACATGAGTCTTTACCGATAGAATCTGTAACATACGAGAGAAAGAAAAAAAAAGGAGTTAAGTGGTGTTCGACGAATTCTGTTATATCATGATGTATTATATATATATATATATATATATTCAGATATCTATACACTTATCTACAAATAAATATTTCTACAAAAAAAAATCTATCTATTTATCGATCGATCTATGTATAAATATATATGTTTATATATATATATATTTATGTGTTCAAAATATTTGTAGCAGTGATAGGACAAAGTCAGTCAAAATGAGACACAGAGGAGAATAACGACTATTTGAGAAGGAGGAGCGAGAGTGGGGGATCTGACATGCACGCACATACACAAGGCGAGAAGGAATAGTCGACTGTTTTATTTTTTTTTTTTTGGAAATAGTGCCGAGCCAGCTAAGAGAATAAGCAATAACATGCAGAAACTTCCTTCATTCTTTTTTTTCCTTATTCTCCATTCTTTTTTTCTTCTTCTTCTTCTTCTCTCATCTTTTCTTCCTGGCGTTTTCATCATTTCTTAGATAGGCAACGTACGACAAGAAGCAGAAGGATGATGATGACGGCGACGACGACGACGACGATGTCTATAACGCTATAGTCTTCGTCGACCAAACGAAGCAACAGCAATGCAATGCAATGATGATGATGCAAAGAGGATTCCGAGCTGTGCAACAGCAGCAGCAGCGGTAGTAGTAGCAGCATATTGACTTGTGGTTGCACTCGTTCTACACTATTGACAACGAAGACGACAATGACAATTTTCGGATCATTTGATTTTTTGTTCTAAAATATTATGTCTCCTTCCTGTGATGTATGAGTGTGTGTGAATATGTATATGTAAGGAGGTTATAAGGAAGAAAATACGAAGACAAACGCTTGCGGACATTCTAGTTTATTCAATTCCCATTCCTATACTTCATTACTCTTAGCCGTTCTTTTTGTTAAGCAGAACATATACAGAATAGTGAAGAACAAGACGAAGAAGATTTTCGAGTGCAAAACATTGAATTGTGACAAACCTCGATGGCGATAAAGTGGATAGATAGATAGACAAATAGATAGAACTTCGAGCGGATGTTCATTCTCCCATTAAACGATTTTCAAGAGCGATAGCGAGCTCATCGATACATGGTAATTCTACTTGAAAATCATCTGCAAATATACATATTTTGTTCTATTCTATTAGATCTATATATATATATATATATTGCGTTACCTTCTACATATGCTCTAACAAACAACTACGACAATTCATGATCATCATATAGATTGTTATCGTTTGTTTTTGTGACGCATATAAAAAAAAAGCTTTTTGAATAAATATTATTATGCTTATTATTCTAAAAAAAGAATCAACTTATATCCTGAACTATCTCTAGTTTTACGAAATTATATGATTGACTCTATAGAAAAATCAGAAAACTAAAAAAATATGAAGTATACTTTATGATCAAGACGATACTCGAGAGTATAACAATGAGTTATATATTCGTCTATGTCTACATACGTCATTAGCAATTATTTCTTGTAACTAAAATATATCATTAAAAGAAGAGTCATCCTGGAATTTTTTTTATCTTCAATCATAAAATCTATTATATGACCTTGCTAATTCCATATGTAATGACATCAATGTTACCAATCAATTTTTTGTTTTACTGTTTATATATGTATTTTCTTCTCTCTTCAGCTAATCTTATAGAATAAATGATATTTGGGTATTAAACTAACGTCTCTTTTTACATTGCTTATAATAAAAACATTGAATTTCGTTATTTTCTAACTATAAAAACTTATCTGTATATTTTTACCTTAAAAGTATATTGTCAATTATTAACTCTACACTGATTTGTTTTTCGTCAATATATTAATTGAAAAATTACTGTTCCATAAATGTGTATAAAATAAAAAGGGACTAAATGATATTATGTATTGATGTATGCTAAAAACTATAAATCAAATTAATTGAACAAAAATATGGTATTGACACGTGTATAACATTCTGTTTCCTACTGATAAGAAAAGAGTCATTGAGGTTGCTTTTTGCATATGCTTTCGTTACTGTTCTGTTCTTTTTTTCTCGCTCTTTTTCATACTTACTTTCTTGTATGATGTTCGCTTATTTTAAGTTATTCTTTGTTGCCCGAACGAACATTTTTCTTCTTTTTTTTTTTTTTCTTATTTTACTTACCTTCACTCTCTTCTGACGCACACTTTTTTTAGATGACAACCAGGCAAGTAGACAGACAGAATGAATACGGTGTATATGTGTTGGATCGTACCGAGACCGGACTTATTTTTCTTTTTCCTGTCTCTCTCTCTCACTCTTTCATGCATTATTATTTTTCTATAACTCGTCACGACCGAGAAAATCATTTATAGAAATACTATGAAAAAAAAACCGATGTTTTCTCTCTATTTCTGTTTTGTTAGTTTCATAGAATAACTTAAATGATCATGACTATACACAGCTTCCTTTTCCCTTCTGTTGTCTTATTGATTTGTTTTTCTTTTCTTTTTTGATTTTATTTTTCTAACAGATGGTTATTTCTGAAAATCGATCCGAAGAAAATCGACATTTTCAAACATGGCCTTTCCATCGACAGTATTCGAATGGAAATAATATCCATAACAATATTTATCATAATTCGGAACAGAATTTATCACATGATAAATCATTGAAATCAATATTTATGACTGATGCATCAAAAACTTTTGAAAATCATATAATAATATCAATGGATAGAGGGTAAAATGTAATTATAAATTCATACTAATTAGACGAAAAGAATTCATTAGTTTTTTTTCTTCAAAATAGATATAGTTACTTTAATATATTAGTCGAATAAAACCTCAAGGTTTTTCTCCCGTAGATGTAAAATGAATAATAGGAGTGGAATTATTTTATGGATGGAATATCTTTTTGTTACAAGACTTCCTTTTCAAGCTTTTATAAGAGAAGAAGAAGAAAAAAAGAATTTCTAGAAAATAAATCCTTTTCTCTTTCAACTTTCCAAGTCATTTAGTTATATAAAATCACATAAAGTAAATACTTCACTCTCTTTCTTTTTTTTACTTGGAATTAAAAAAGAAAAAGAGAACGAAAGACATGCGATACTTCATTTTCTCTCATCTATCGAGAAAAAAAAACTGTAAATCATATTTTTTTAATACGAAGGTTTTGATTTATAACATCAAATCATTTTTTCTCACAAATAGCTTGATGTCGGTGATTATACTGTAAAATTTATAATGAATAGAATTTTTATTGAAGAGTGAGTAATCTTATAAAATAGATTGATCATAAAAATATCGAAAAAATAAATAAAATTCACTATTCTGTTGTATTATAGAACGATAGTAAACACAAGTTCTCATGAAAATTCACAGAATCATGAAGATCTATCCGAATGTCCAATATGTTGTAGTAGTATTCAATTGAATGAATTAAAACAAATGTCATGTTGTTCAATAAAACTCTGTTCACCATGTTTTGTAACTCATACTATAACGAATATTCAAAATGGAAAAGTTAAAATTGAATGTCCAGCATGTTCACAAGAAATAAATTCATTAACAATATTATATAATATTGATATACCAATGCCTTTACGTGAACGTTATCAAGAACTTTTAGCTCAAGATTTATCAGAAAAGCAAAATACTTGTATAAAATTATGCCCACATTGTAATTTTATAACAATCCTAGATGAACATCATCCAATAAGAGATCGAAAAAAATTTCGTCGTTCATCACAACAATGGGTACATTGTGAACAATGTGATAAAGAATGGTGCTGGTCATGTTATGCCCCATCACATCCAGAAGAAACATGTCGTCAATTTAAAAAAAATCATACTCAATTAGATATGTGGGCAAACTCACGTCGTTTAGATAATCAACAACGAAATGCTCAACGTTGTCCAAAATGTTCAATATATATTGAAAAAATTGATGGATGTGATCATATGATATGTTCAAAATGTAGTTCAAAATTTTGTTATCGTTGTGGTTCAAAAATGAGATTACCAAATTATATTGGACATGATGCGAAATATTCTATATTTGGTTGTAAATATAAATTATTACCTAATCATTCATTATTACGTTGGTTTGTACGTGGATCAATATTTACTGGTATTGTTCTTCTAACACCAATTGTACTTGCTATTGCGATTGCTATTGTTGCTATTGGTATTCCAATACTTCTAGTTGTTGGTTGTTGTGGTTTACCAATATATGCATATACTCAATATAAGAAACGATCTTAAAGTACTTTCTTATAAACGAATGAAGATTTGTCTTTCATATGAGATACAAACGATTTGTTTTCTCGTCTATTTCCATTTGCACCTTTGTGATATGTATTAGAGCCTTCTGTTTTTTTTGTGCATTGTGTTATATTATTTATGATTTTTTTAGTCCATGACATGAATACAGTACGAATTTTTTTGCGGATGTTTGTTTCTCTTTTAAGTAATAAAAATCAAGAATAATATTCAAATATATATATGTATTTTATTAAATAGAAATATTCGTAAATATAATAACAGAGTATTTTGAATACGGAAATTTATCTGCACGTAGTATATATCCCGTTAGTTTTATATCTAGAAAAATATTTATTGGAACATATAAAACATCTGACTTATTTAATCAACGACTGAAACTTATGTTCTTACATCGAGACGTAATATTTTTAAAATAGAAACTGGAGTTTCGCCATTGAATTCCTCTGAAGATACGCAGTGAATAGAGAAAATTTTCTCTTTCAGGTCGTTGCTTTTCGCTTTCATGCAAGCTGCATATCAGTAGAAATGCTCGAAAAACTAGAAAAAAACGATAAAACCCGAAAAATCACGATGTACTACATAATGTGTTAATATTTAAACGTGTGTGTCAAGTACGGACCTCTTTTTTTCTTCGTAAGTTATTGAAGTTAAATTTAAGCATTTTGATTGGTATGTAACTGTGGACTACTCTAAAGAAAGAAATATATAGAAAAAATAAAATTATTCTACATTAGTCTAATGAATAATTTTCATATTCTATTTTCTCAAGCATAATCAATCTCGAAATTATTTCTTAGAAGAAAACTAGAAAAAGGCATATTTTAATTTCAGATGCGCTGATCCAATAATGCTATTTCAGTTACCTTGTGGCAATCGCAATTTCTTAATTATGACTATATCTTCACTCATCAGCTGTTTTCTTCTATGGTCCATACTAAGCCGAGTATGTATTTAGTTTCTTGTTTGTTGTTTTTCATATTGTTCTAATGTGTTTATTCTCTTCAATCTTTCGAAATATATATATATATACATATTAAAAACTAAATGAAATGAAGATCACTCGTTCAAGGTGAGATTTTTTAGATAAAATGAAATTAAATATAGATGGTTTGCTTGTATATATGCCATATGATTTTATTTATCCTGAACAATATAAATATATGCAAGAACTTAAACGTGGTCTTGATCATAAAGGACATTGTGTACTTGAAATGCCTTCTGGAACTGGAAAAACCATTACACTTTTATCATTGATTATTGCATATATGAAACGTTATCCTGATCAATATAATAAATTAATATATTGTAGTCGTACAGTACCAGAAATCGAAAAAGTTATGTCTGAAATGAAACGTTTAATGGCTTATTATGAAAAAGAAACAAAAGAAAAACAAAAATTTATTGGTATTGCAATGAGTTCAAGAAAAAATTTATGTATTCATCCTGAAGTTAGTCAATTACGTTTAGGTAAAGAAGTTGATAGTGCATGTATGAATTTAACAGCATCATATATACGTGAAGAAGCAAAAACAGATCGTACAGTAAAAACATGTTCATATTATGAACAATATGATAAAAATGGACGTGAAGAAAATATTCCATATGGAATTTATAATTTAGAAGATCTGAAAATTTATGGTAAAACAAAACATTGGTGTCCATATTTTTTAACACGTTATATATTAACACATGCAAATGTTATTGTTTATTCTTATCATTATTTATTAGATCCAAAAATAGCTGAAATTATTTCGAAAGAATTACCAAAAACATCTATAATTGTTTTTGATGAAGCACATAATATTGATAATGTTTGTATTGATTCAATGTCAATAACATTAACACGTAAAATTCTTGAACGTGCACAAGCAAATGTTGAAAGTTTAAAATTAATTGTACAAGATAATAAATTAAAAGATGCAAATCGTTTAAAAAATGAATATGAAAATCTTGTTAAAGGTTTACGTGAACAAGCTATACAACGTGAAACAGATGTTATATTAACAAATCCAATATTACCTGAACATGTTTTACAAGAAAATATTCCAGGAAATATTCGACAAGCTGAACATTTTCTTATATTTATAAAACGTTTTCTAGAATATATGAAAACAAGAATGAATATACAACATGTTGTTAGAGAATCACCACCATCATTTCTAAAAGATTTACAAGTACGTGTTTGTATTGAACGTAAACCATTAAGATTTTGTTCGGAACGTTTACGTTCGTTATTACGTACACTTGAAACACGTGATATGCATTTATATCAGCCATTAATATTACTTTGCAATTTTGCAACAATTATAAGTACATATACAAAGGGTTTTACATTAATTATTGAACCATTTTTTGATAGTAAATCAACAGTTTATAATCCTGTTTTACATTTTACTTGTTTGGATTCATCAATTGCTATTAAACCAGTTTTTGATAGATTTCAATCAGTTATTATTACATCAGGTAAAATAATAATGAAAATAATTTCATCAATCATTCATCTTTTTGTTTTTCTTCTTCTAGGTACACTGTCACCTATTGATATGTATCCAAAGATTCTTTCATTTACTCCAGCTATAATGGAAACATTTACAATGACATTAACACGTCCATGTATTCTACCAATGATAGTTACACGTGGTAATGATCAAATAGCGATAACATCAAAATTTGAATTACGTGAAGATCAAGCTGTTATTCGTAATTATGGTATTTTACTTATTGAAATGTGTACACATGTTCCTGATGGTATTGTTTGTTTTTTTACATCATATATGTATATGGAACATGTTGTTTCAACATGGTATGAATTAGGTATCATTGGACAAGTTCAAAAATATAAATTATTATTTATTGAAACACCTGATAGTGTTGAAACATCATTGGCTTTATATAATTATCAAAAAGCTTGTGATAATGGTCGTGGTGCAGTTTTATTATCAGTTGCACGTGGTAAAGTTAGTGAAGGTGTTGATTTTGATAATCATCTTGGTCGATGTGTTATTATGTTTGGTATTCCATATGTTTATACACAATCACGTATATTACAAGCACGTCTCGATTATTTACGTGAAAATTTTCATATACGTGAAAATGATTTTTTAACATTTGATGCAATGCGTCATGCTGCACAATGTGTTGGTCGTGTATTACGTGGTAAAAGTGATTATGGTATTATGATATTTGCTGACAAACGTTTCTTACGTTCGGATAAACGACAAAAAATTCCGAAATGGATACAAGAATATTTAACTGATAGTTTAGCTAATTTATCTATTGAAGAATGTGTACAAATTGTTAAAAAATGGCTTAAAGATATGGCACAACCATTAAGACAAGAAGATCAATTAGGCATATCATTATTAACAGAAGAACATCTTCGTTCAAATGAAATTTTAGAGAATCTTGAACAAAGTTCAGCTGATGTTTAAATCTTTTTTTTCCTCTTCATATAAATAAACCAGAAAGTTATATTTTCTTTTTCTTTCAACATATTGTCTTGTTTATCTCCTTAATGTTTCGATTGTATTTTTTTTATTTTTGTTTCTTGTAGGCAAACTCATCAGTAACAAGAACAACTGCAAGTCAACAGATTATTCGAAATGGTGATGCTGGTGGTGTTTATGTACCAAAGAAAGTTGGAAATGAAGAACCAGATTTACATTATGGTGTTGTTATTGATTGTGGTAGTAGTGGATCAAGACTTTATATTTATATTTGGCCAGAACATTCCGGAAAAGCAAATGAATTATTACAAATTAAACAATTACTTGATAAACAAGGATTACCAGTAGTAAAAAGAATAGAACCAGGTTATTTACATTTTTTCTTTTGAAAATAAAATAAAATATTTTTCTTTATCGATTAGGTCTTTCATCAATGGCAGACACACCAATGAATGCAACAGAATATATGAAATCATTATTAGGTATGAATTCTTTAACAGAAAATCAGATAAAAAAAACTGGCTTACTATCTCTTCGCCAATTGTAATAACATAAGATTAGTATAGTTAATAGGAGCTGTTTTTATATATATACAATTACATAATGACACCGGCGAATTTGAGCGGTGCCCACCCTGAATTTTCATTTCACCCAAAAAAAGAAATCTAAATGAAACACTGCTCCTATGATAGTTGTATGATATATTATATCTCATAAGAGATGATGTCAGCAGATAAATTTATAGGAATAAATTCGATCATCTGAATGTTCTTTTTATATTGAAACTATCGAACTGAATTAGTTTGTTTTCTTTGTTGGATAAAACGAGTAACAAATATCGATTTTTATTTTTATTTTTACAGATTTTGCTGCAGAAATCATTCCACCGGCCAAACATAGTGATACACCTTGTAAGTTTTGACAAAATTCATTAGTTATTTTTACTTATAATACGTAATTTTTTTGAAGTGTATATTCTTGCAACAGCTGGTCTTCGTTTTTTGACACCGAAGTATAAATAATGCATTTTTTTTTAAATGTCTAAATCTTCAATTTATTTTCTATTTTTCTAGTAAACAAAAACAATTACTTGAAGATTTATTTACTGATATTGAACGTGATTATAAGTTTTTAATTGAAAAAACACATATTCAAGTTATTACGGGTCAATATGAAGGTATTTATAGTTGGATAGCTATTAATTATGTACTTGGACGTTTTCAACTTACTAATAGCCAATCAAGTATATTGAATAAGAAAGTAGAATGAAAAAAAAATATTGATAAATTTATTATTTAGAATCAAAAATTACTGATTCTTCGACACAAAACTCTGATAAACGACCATCAACTGTTGGAATACTTGACATGGGTGGTGCTTCTGCACAAATAGCTTGTAAGTTTATTTATATTGATAATTTTAATAAATAAATTCTTCTTTTTCCTATAGTTGAAGTTTCAGAAAATGTAAGTTGTATTTTTTTATATTTGTATTTTAATATAAAATTCTTATTTTAGACTCAAATGAGTGGCAGCGAAGTGGCAGAATTTTCTTTAGGTCATGATGATGATCAAGAAGCATTTAAATATAAAATTTATGTCACAACATTTCTTGGTTATGGTGCAAATAAAGTCTATGATAAATATATTGATCGAATTATATCAATTGCATTAAAGTAAGAAAAAAACCTATCTTAAACATCATCCAAATATATTCATTATAATTATTTAGTTCTTCAACATTAAATTCTTCTTATATAGAAATAAATGATGCTGATTGTTTACCACGTGGTTATTCAACAAATATAACACGAAATAATATAACAATAAAATTAACAGGTGAAGGAGATTTTAAAACTTGTTCAAAACATTTAGTTATGTTATTGAATTTAAATGCAACATGTTTAAAAAAACCATGTTCATTTAATGGAGTTTATCAACCAGAAATAAATTATAATTCACAAGATTTCTATGGTTTTTCTGAATTTTGGTATACAATGCAAGGTTTGAAAAAAAAAACAATTATAATAATCCTGAATTTTTTGTTTTCATTTATATTAATAGATGTTTTAAAACTTGGCGGTCCCTATGCTCAATTAACTTTTCTTAATGCATCTGTTGTATGTAGAATAGACATAAAAATTCTTTTGTTTTTTTTTACTAGTTATTTTATTTTAGAATTTTTGTAATTCCGATTGGAATAATATTCAACAATGGTATAAGAATAAAGTCTATGAAAATACTAATTTAGATCGATTGATGTAAGTTTTTGCTTAAAGATAGAATACTCTGAAATATTAACATAATTCTGTATTTAGGTTACAATGTTTTAAATCTGCATGGCTTTATGCATTTCTTCATGATGGTTTGAAATTTCCTGTTAATTACCAACGATTACGTTCAGCTTCATTAGTGAATAATAACGATGTTCAATGGACACTCGGTGCAATTATTTATAAAACTCGATATTTTCCATTGAAGTATATCTATTCAATTATTTGTAATTCTATACAAAAATTTCTATTGCTATTCTTTTTAGAGCAATTAATCAAGCAAAAACTACAAAATATCATTTGAAAACATATACAAATTCTCGAACATTATTTGCGTTATTCTGTTTGGTGTTAACATTATGTATACTGATATTTGCTCCATCAAAAATTCGATCATTTATATCACGTCGTACAACTCTTCAATCGCAATCAAGTGAATTTAATTATCGTTACGAATTATTAACATCATTTACTAGCGATGATATATCAACAGCTGGTTCATATATAAATGTTAAAGGAGCATAAATATTCTCGCATGAACATCTTATTTTTCTTGAAAAAAAAAAGTCATTTATTAACGTGATCTCTATTAGTTTTCTATTTCATTTGTATGCCTACTAATAAAAGCTTAATCTTTCTGTTATTTATACTAAATGGTAATTGTTATATGTTAACTCTAACTTTATTTAAATTAATAAATATGAAGAAAAAAGAATTCAATCAGAATAACGTATCGATTTTGAAGAGCGTCTCGTTTCTGTTTGTATAAAACAAAGGCAAATATTTATATAATTGAAGTATTTATATATAACATATCACGTTAAAACAATGTTTTATTTTAAGAATCGTAAAGAAAAAAGTAATTTAATATGTTGTTTTTTTTCATTTGCAATATGATTAACCATGAATGATATTCTTTTCTGTCTATGAAATTTTAAAATCTTTTCAAGTAGAAAAAACTTTCTTATGAAATAGCTTTTTAAGTTCATGATATTCTTTAAAAATTTTCTTGCAAACTAAACTACAAATAAGGACATTTTTAAATGCCTAAGTAAATATATTATTATTATTATTATTATTGATATTTAAGACACTTTTTGTTCTCATAGGACACAAAAAAAACGCGGGAGAGAGAGAGAGAATTGTATGAATGAATTGTTTGTAGATCTAATCATTGACAAGATATATAATAAGAGTATTAATATATATAAAATAAAATTGAAAAAAAAAGATTGTACAAGCAACAAATGAGGAGTGAAATTCTTTTTTTTTCTAAAGTTCCAAAAAAAAAATCATGAGCATATGAGAAACATAATTTATTCTTTAACTTCGACAATAAGTGGTGCTTCATATAATGAATGTCGAATACCAAATGAATAACCAGGAGCTTGTTGTTTATGGAGCCAAACTTTTTCTGGTGAATACTTACCAGGTCCTGGTTTTTGAGTTCCATCACCAGGCATTTCATTTCTAGCAATCATACTATAATGTGGTGGTTCGGATTTATATATGCCAGGTTTTGTTACACTATATGTACCTAAAAAAAGAATGTATACAAAATTTATTTTATGAATAAATTGTATATTTTACCTGGTCCCGGTGTTCGTTGTAAATCTTCATCAAAACCACCACGTTTACTTCTTCCTGTCATTGAATAGATTGGTGCTTGTTTCTTTACACTTTGTACTGTTTTGCCAGTCATGCCGGGTAAACCATAAGCATTTGGTGCTAAAAAAGAACAATCATGCAATTATAGTAAGAAAAGAACACGAAAGAAATTATAAATATACCGGGTGTATGATCAAGTCCATAGGCTTTATGACGTGTACCAAATGTATAAGCAGGTGGTGATTGGAAGACACTTTTCATTGGTCCATTTTCTTCGGGTTTATATGAGCCGGGTCCTTACATGAAATTTGAATAATGTACAATATAATTAATGTTTTAATTCTTACCAGGAACGTTATCACCTTTTAAATCACCACGTCGAGCATAGAGTGAATATTGTGGTGTACCATCTTTACCAGTTCGAATAATTCTTGGATTTGGAAAATAACATGGACCAGGTGATGCTTCATCTTTATATTTACCATGTCTAAGACCAAATGAATAAGATGGTTGTTTATTATGAACCGAACGTGGATCATGAAAATTATTTCCAACCAGACCCGGTAAGAGATAAACCGGACCTGGTGTCGAATTCATTGCTGAAATAGGACCGCGTGGTTTTGTTTCAGTGTAAACCATCTTTTTTTTTTTGATTTATCTAATTGAAAAAAGAAAAAAATGTATAACGTTTAAATAAGTAATGGATTTGCTTGAAAGTATTTTTTGCTCCCTCTCACAACTATACACGTTCATAATATAAACGTTCTCTCTTTATGTTTCGTCTCTTACCAACGTATGATGACAACAGACATTGGGAGCCTTGACGCCCGAGACAACAATTGAGTATCGGAAAAACGTTTCTTTTTTTTCTCTTTACTTCTAATGTTGAAAAGAAGGCGAAGGAGAAAAACAAGCAAGCTTTGAATCAATCAACGCAACATACATATGCACAAGCAGCTTTCTATTGTTTCTTTTTCTCTTTGCTTCTTTTTTTTTTTGTTAATGTATTGAAGAATTTTTTTTCATAAAGATTGAGTGAGCTGAGTGTTGCCTACTACCACTTTACTATGACTCGATGATAAAAAGAGAAGAAAAAAAAAAGAAATCATGCTATTGTTGTTATGGATGTCGCTTCTTTAACAATTTTCTTTCTTCTCTCTCTCTCACAGAGCCCGTTTTTTTTCTTGGTGTCTATGTGATTGTTACAATGTTTGCATGGTGTTCGATGTTAGTGAAAAATAAAGTGAAGTGGAATATGAGACTAAGTGACTGTCCATGTATGTTTATTTTATTTTGTTTTATTCATTTATACTATTCAATTGATTTAATGCAAGCAATTTTATATAGGTAGATATAAAGTGATGGAAAAGATTTTCTTGTTTAAAAGAGAATAAAAGTAAAATTTCATGAATAATGCATATAGTTCGTCGTGATTGAAAAATAAACAGAAAAAGCATCATAGTAACCATTTCTACTTAAGAAAATTTTAATAAAATAATAACAAAATCTTTTTATTATTTATGATGATTGACAGACGTGACATTAGTCTTTATTTTTGGATAATATTTCAGTTGATATTGACCTATGAATATTTGCATTGAAATAAAAGATCTTTTTTTTATTAGCTAAGATCGATTTTATTCTGATTAATGAAAAAGAAAACTGTTTTTTGTTTTTTGAGCTATAAAAGCATTTGATAGTATTTTTTATTTGATTGAAAAATCATAAATAAATGTGCAGTAAAAAAAAGGCTCATAATTTCACTGTTCATCTAAAACTGCGTTTTTTTTGTGATTTATCCATTTCTTGATTTTTCATTGGCCAATGCTAATCGACGAATATATGAAATACATATCGCAGCATTTTCTTGAAGTACATCGTCTTTTGAACCAACCATTTCCATTAATAACTAAATAGAGAATTTTTTTTTAAGAATATCATTAATAATAGAATATATACTCGAACAACGCCAACTTCATGCATTGTAACACAATTTGTTGGATTTTTTGATAATTGATGTAATGCTTTCGCTGTTGCTCGATGTACATTTGGATCAGGTGATTTAAGATATTTAACAAGTGGAGCAACTGCTTGATGTTCACCGAATGCTTGTCGATTATTTCCCCATTTACAACATTCAGCTATAGCTTCAGCCAAATAACGACGAAGAATATCTTCATGCTGTTTTTTTTGTAAGAAAACAGAAAATGAAATATATTCATACTATCTTAAATCTTACTCGTGTTACTAAATTTGAAAGAAGTTTAACAACACCATGATCTGTTATAACAGCTAAATTTTCTTCATCTTTAGCTATTTCAGCTATAGCAGCACATACACTAGCTAATACTTGAACATCTTTAGATTTTAATAATGATACAATTAATTCTAGACCACCAACAAAACTTCGTACCATTTCACCTGATTCCTACAAAATACATCTTTACAATGAAGAAACTGTAGAAGGACTATTTTTTTGCAACAAACTTTTATATTTTTTACACATGGTGATATAGCCCATGCAGCTGCAGCTTGTACATGTGGATCTGGATTTTTCAAAAGTGACCATAATAATCGAACACCATCCAGACGATCAATCATCCTATATGTGCACATATGTCATAGAAAATGTAATAGAAAAAGAAAATGAAAATTACTGTATGCTATCAGGTTCTTCAGCACATTGACGTAAAGCATTACATGTATTTACTAAGAGAGCTGGATTTGTTCCTGTAAGTAAATTAATCAATGGTGATATTCCACCAGCTTTACGTATAGCTGTTCGATTATCTGGTTCTTTAGCACATTCAGCTAATGCTCCAACAACATTTACTAAAACTTCTTCTGGTTGATTATTAAGTAATTGAACGAGTGCTTCAAGTGTTCGAAATTCTTGAAATTGTGCAATATTCTAATATAAATTATGATATTAATACCATTATAAAAAAAACTTTGAATTACTTCAGAAGAAATTGCACATTTCCAAATAGCTCCTGTTGCTGCAGCTAATAAAGCTTTATTATCAGTTTTTTGTAAAAGATCATGTAAAGGACGAAGACCCATATATTTTCTTACAAGATCACGAATTTCTTTATCTTCAGCACACTAAATAAACAAAAAAAATTTTTAATTTCCATTTCTTAAAAAATAAAATTTCTTCTAACTTTAAAAATCGCACTTGCACAATGTTTCTTTAAATCATCATTCGCACTTAATAAATTTTTCACAAGATCTGGAACCATACCACGAATAGCCATACGATAAACAGGCTAAAGTATGAATATATAATTATTAAAAAATTAAATAAATTCAACTCATACATCTGTCGCACATTCTTCTATAATACCACCAACAGGTATAAGCATATTATCATTTGAACTTTTAAGTAATTTTGCCAAAAGTGGAATAACGCCTGCACGTTCCATAGCATGTTTATTTTTATTTGATCGACTTAAACTCCAAAGAGCTAATGCACCTGCACGTGCAATTTCAATATGTTTAGCATTTTCACTATTGGATCCATGACCATTAACGGAAGCATTTTCTAATAATCCAACCTAGGAAATTATCATTTAGTTTTTTTTTCTATTTCGATAAAAAAAGACTTACTAATCGTTTGATACCACCATTTTGTCGAACAATTTTTCGTGCTCGTTTAAATTTTGCAACATGAGCTAAAATTAAAAGAATTTTTTCTTATTTGAATTACAACAAAAAAATAGATTTTTACCAATAGTTTCAGCAGCAAGACATTTAACTTCTTTTTCTGGTTCATCAAGTAATTTAACCATTGTTTGTAAACCACCAAGATCTGCTATATTTCGACGGATATATTTATTATTTGAAATTTCTTTTAAAATATGTAATGAACCAATCTAAAGAATATAATTAAGAATAAAGAAAAATTCAAAAGAAAAATATACTTTGCAGTCAAGATCATCTGTTTCGAGTAGATTAACAAGTACTTCAAGACCACCAACATCACGAATAGCTATTTGACATGTTTCAACTGATAAATTAAAATCACGAATTGATGATAAGGCGATAACAGTTGCTGTTGGATTTCCACCTTTAAGATATTTAACTAAACGTTGAATTTGCCAATATTCAGCTGGTAAATCACTTTGATCTGGTCGTGCACGTTCCACCATTTCATCGTCTTCTTCATCATCATCTTCACTTGAATAATCCGATTCAAAATTACTATGTCCTCGTCGTGTACGATCGGTATGTTCTCCTGAACGTGAATTAAGTCTTCGATCAGAACCACCAGCTTTTGATAGCGATGTGTTATCTCTACGTAATCCATTATGACTAAAACAAAAAAATTTATTCATACAAAAACAAAGAATTTTCTAAATAAACATACCCAGTAACTAATGTTTCCCAATCACGTGAAGATAATAATATTTTTTTTTGATTTTTGTCATGTCCTGTATTATCTAGGTAATAAAATTATTTATGAGAAAATATGATAGATTAATAGTAATTAAACTATTACCTTGTGCTGTTGATGGCATCGCTGTTTTTTTTCGTTTTCTGTTCAATGTGTAAAACCACTTGTTACAAACAGAATTCAACTCGATACCATCATTTTAGTTTTGAGTATTATGTAACTTGGCAACCTAATTTATTTTATTAAGATTGATATAAACAATTAATTAATTTTAATCTTGTCAAGGCAAGATATTCAATGATAATTTTATCGATAAAAAAATTTCTTCTAATCAATCTTATCAGTAATGCACTTTGTTCTGCCTCTATAATTGCTTAGCAACAGGAGTATAAAATGGCAAAATGAAAAGGTAAAATTGAACAAAAATATGACTTGTGATTATCGTTAATATTAAAATCAATGTTTATTTATTAATCAATTAATATGGATGATCAAGCATTAAAACAACTTGCTATACAAAAAGAAAAAGAATGGTTAGCTGTTATGCAAGAACGGTAGATTCTTTTATTTTATCATTTAAATAAATAAAAACAACAAAGAAACCTCAAAGTTTATTTTAGACTTGTTACATTAGAAGCAACTGTTGAAAATAAAGATCAACAATTAGCTGAATTAAATCAAAAATATAATCGTTTATCAGAAGATTTTAAATATAATTTAAAATTAATTGATGATCGTGATAAAGAACTTGCAACATTTGATAATCGTTTTAAAGGTTTTATACTACTTTTTTAATTTTTTTAAAATCTTCTTTTCATATAGAATTAAAAAAAGTTTTAAATGAAAAAAATAGTGATATATCAGAATTAAAAATTGTTAATGATCAATTATATACATTGAAAAAACAAATTGAATTACAAATTGATGAAGAAAAAAAACATTTTCTACATCGTTTATCAATTAAAGAAAAAGATTTATCAACATATAAACAACAATGTGATCAAATACTTCAAACTGAACGTGAACAATTAGAACAAGAACGTCGAACAATTAATCGGCGTCTTACAGAACTTGAAAATGATTTAGAAAGACAACGACGAGAATTAACAAATGAATTTGAAACACAAACAAAAAAACTTGAATATGATTGGAAACGTCGATATGATGATGTTAATAATTTACAACTAGCGAGTGAACTAAAAGTAAAAAAAAAAGAGAAATATTTTTTATTAGTATATTTTTTTTGTTTTAGAGTAAATTATTAACAGAAGAAATCGAACAACATACACAAACAATTCGTAATGTGGAATTAAATAAAAATGAATTAATAGAACGAAATAAAACACTTGAAAAATTAGTTAAAGAACTTGAATGGCAATTACATGAACAAGAAGCAATAAAAAATGCCAGGTTACTTTTTTTATACATTGTTTCTTTCTTTATTTAGTAATCGAATATTTATTTATTTAGGATTAAAGAATTAGAAATGAAATCCAGTAATGTCGATGGAAGACTTCAAGAACGTGAAGATGATTACAGTCGAAAGTAAATAAATAAAATAACTCATATAATCGAATATTGAGGATTGAATAAGAAAACAAAATCTACAATTACGTGTGTTATTGACTTGATAACTGTGTAGACTGTAATATTTTATGATAGTTCTAATTGTTCGAAACTAATGACTTTATTCTTTCTTTTCTATTACTATTAGGAGATATTTAGGAAGTCCTTGAACGTGTTGATGTGAGTGTGGGTCTGGAAAGAGATGATAACAACACCTACACCCATTTGAATGTGAGACTAACCCTAGTGATACCAAGTCTTTTGTTATACTTTGTACGGCTGCAAATGAGCTCTACAAACGAATTTTTATATGATTACCTGTCCCATCTGGAAATTATCATTTTGTATTCTCTTCCATCATGGGTCATAGTAGAAACCATACAGCCAATCTCGTTTCACACTTGTTCGCAAAATTTATGAAATAATAATAAACTTCATTGTATTGCTGTATTTACCACTAACGAGATTTTATGATAGTATATCATTTGATATCTTAATCGATTGTTTCCTATAATTAAATATTGAAAGTATATATTCTTTATTCAATGATTCATTATTCTTATCTACAGGTGTCATACGGAAGTAGCTGTTCTTTTTTATTACATATCATATCCATTTTGTTTTCTCTTTTTTTACATTAATAAGAAAAAATATTCTTTTTATATATAGATATAGTGAACTTGATCGGTTATTACGTGAAAAAGATATAAAAATTGAACAATTAAAACAAAGTTATCAAGAAATTGAAACTAAATATGAAAGTTTAAATGATCAATGTTTTCAATTACGACAACAACAAAATGAAAAACAACGTGAACATGAACACCTTATTCGAGAAAAAGATGTTTCTCTATCTACGTAAATTATTATTAGAAAAAAATTTTTATTTTTTTGATTAAAATCTATTTATCATATTTTAATAGTTTACAAGATGAAATAAATCGAATAAAAAAAGAATGGAATTATCAATTAACACAAATTAGTAAAGAACATGCTAATGAAAATATTGAACATCGTGCTATACAAGATGAATGTGATACATTAAAAGGTGAAATAAAAATAAAAGATAATCATATAAATCGGTATGTAAAACAAAATCAAATATTTATTTATTAACATATAATAATTTCTTTTCTAGTTATAAAAAAGAACTTGAAGATGCATTAGATCGCGAACGTGCATTAGAAGAAGCTAAAGCACAATTAGATCTTGATTGGCAAAAAAAATTTGATCAAAATCAAAGACAAGAATATCATAAATCAGAAGATCTTATTGAAAAAATATCAAGTGCACATGAACAGGTTTCTAGGAAAAAATGTCCTTTCTTTAATAATAATAATATCTTTTCATTATACTATTAGTCAATTGCACAAGTTAAAAAATTAGAAAATGATATTCGGTTTAAAGATGATTTATTAAAAGCTTATACCAATCAATATAAAACAGTAAATTTCTATTTTCTAAATAAAAGAAATTTTCATTTTACAAATTAGGATGGTGGTGATGGTGATGTATTAGTTGTATTACAACGTGAAAATGAAAATCTTCGTTCAGTTATTTCACAAATGCGACAACAAATGGAATCACTTGTAAGTGATTTACCTGGTCAGCCAACATCAGGACAACCAAGTTTAGTTAATGAATTACAAAGTGAAAATCAAACATTACGTCAACAAAATCGTGATTTAATTTCTCGACTTGATTCTCGACATTCAAATGTTGATGTTGATCATACAGCTGTTAATAATGAATTGAAAAAAAATCCACAATTAAACAGTTATGTACAATCATTAAATAATACAATCGGTAACTATTTTTTATATTTTAATACAATAAGAATGTATCTCCTGTTGTTTTTAGCATCTCTACGTACGGAAAAAATGCAACTTGTATCACAAGTACGAAAATTAGAAGGTCGTCTTATTCAAATCGAAAAAAATCATGATAATTTTCAACGAGAAGTAATTTATATCGATTATAAAAGTTTTATATTAACTACTTTTTTTTTGATTTAGCTTCGACAAAGACAATCACGTATTGATCAATTAACATATCAAGCGAATGCTGATGATCGTCGTCATCAAACAGAATTGACGAGTATGAAACAAAAACTAAGTGATATGGAAGTACATTTACTCGAAACAAGACGTGAAGCAGATGAATATCAAAAATCAGTTATTGAACGAAATGCTGATGTTGCGGAACTTGAACGAAAGGTGTGTATTTCTAATTGAAAGACATTTTTTAGAAAATAGATATCATTTATTAGTTAATTGTCGGTCAGAACAGATTCGAAAGTAGAGTATTACTTAGAGTGAACTCAGTCTTGTTTTCTTATTCCCATTTTAACCCTTTGGTTCCGGGCGACGAATATATGTATCCAAGCATTTCTTATACGAAAAAGTCGGAAGTCAAAGAATTAAAAGACACACGATCAGTCACGTTAGTCGCTAAGGCTTTTTCTATAAAATACCAATTTCCTATAAAAAGTACTTGGACACATATATGCGTCGTCGGAAGCCAAAGGTTAAAAAATAGATGAATGCTTACTAGAAGAACTTCTTGTAATTTCGATCATAAATGAAAGATGAGATGTGCAAATGGCAAACTGATAAAACCAGCCCGAAGTTAACCAATTATCAAACAGTTCATGTATGTCTGACTGTTATCAGCAAAAAAATTTATCATGTGCTTCTGAAATTTTCTTATGATTGCAAAATTTTCAGTTTTGATTAAAGATTCTATAGAAGAAGATGAACAGACAAAATGATGTTTCACATAAATATAGCATCTTTAGTAATACCAGAAAATCTTTATCAAATTATTAAGTAGAAAGATACCATTCTATTGTATTATATGATAATTTTACTGACAATGACAGTAGAAAATAATTGAATTAGTATACCAATCATTGAATGGCGAAGACGATATCTTTGGAGTAAACTTCTTTGGTTTGATATCTTAAGACATATTGCCTTAGTCTAATATCTTCTAATGTATTGTGGATATTTTTAAGCTATTAAATTTTAGTTATATATTGCCAAGGGTGATTATTATACAAAAGACTACGTTGCTCATCTTGAGTTGTTCGAAGTAAAAGTCAATACATATGGATGAGTCTGTATTAATCATCTTATATATCAATAAAATTCTATCGATATATTTAAGTTTAGATTTCACTCAATAGATCTTCCATTAAACTTTTTATATTTCTTTTTTTAAAAATTTAGTTAAGTGAAGCAAAATTAGAACTTGCTGGTCGTACTCCACTTTTTAATTATGGTGGTCAAGAAATTCTTATTCAACAACTTCAAGATGAAATTGAACGATTAACAAAAAAATATTCTGGTTCATTTTTTTTCTTCTTAATTTCCTATTCATATTCATAATTTATTTTTAATAGAAATACGACCTAAACTAAATAATAATGGTGATTCAAATGATGATGGTATCAATGTAACACAAGTTCTTTTACAACAAGAAAATGAACAATTAAAACGACGAATAGAACAATCAAATACTCGTATACAAACATTAATTCGTGATAAAGAACGTTTATTAGAAATTAGTAATCATTTACGAGCACAATTAAATCGACATGAAGGTAATGAGAATTTTTAATCGAATATTTGTTTGTTTTTTAATAACATAAATAATAGATGAACCAGTACTACTTAAACGTCCTCCACAAGTTGTTGTTGATACAATACCAACAAATATACGTTCGAATATTTCAAATTCACCTAAAAAGGATTATGTTAACCTTGAAAATAAACTTCAACGACTTGAACAACTTCAATATGCTTTGACAAAACAAGTGAAGTGGTTTGTTTTTGTTAATAAATAAGTTACCTTTTTCTTTTAGGAGTTAGAAAATCGAAAACGTGCACATCAGGTAGCTAATGATTTGCAACAGCAGCGACCAGTAACTGCACCTGAAAAGGCTGAAAGTAATTTTTTTTTTAAAAATGATTTCAATCCTTTTAATCGATATTATTAGATCCCTTGATGAATAGTGATAATACAGTAACAACAATAGCTTCAGAAAATATTCGTGATTTATGGAAAGTACTTGATAATACACCTGGCAAAGGACCTTCGATAGCAAGTAAGATAATCTTCTTCATTTTTAATCATTATTTATACAATCTTTTTTTATTTTTTGTTTTTAGAATCATCAACTATAAACGTAAATGCACAACGAAAAGCGCTTACATCACGTACAACACGAACTTCTAATCAGAATCAATCAATAACGAGTCGAGGTGGAGGACGAGGAGGAGGAAGTAGTGCTCGTTCAAAAGTTCGTAATTGGAATACTCGTGATGATTAAGCATACTCTCAAAAAAAATTTTATTCCATGGCAAATAGAATTTTTGTCAGATATTAGGTTATATTATCTCTTTTTCTTCCTAGTAAAGTAGAGAAAAAAAACGAACATTTTCTTTTATGATATATTGAATGAACAACGATGCAATCTGTTACTTTCTTCATCGTGTTGAATTTATCGATGCACATTCTCTTCTTTTTTTTATTTCTTATAATATGTATCATTAGGTATCAAACTGTTCTTATATGTCCATTACTTATTCTTTCTCTATATGTTCGTTCTTTTTCATCTTATGTATTTTATGATCTTGAATTTCTTAAAACATAATGATTAGTGTTGAACACGATAAAAAAAATGAAGGAAATTTTTATACGATCATTTTATAAGTGTGTGCATAAAAAGAAATTGAAATAAATTATTAACATCTGTTGCTTCATTTTAATCGTTTGGACGAATTTTATTTAAATTTTTATTCATTTCTTTTAGATTTGAATAATGTCGGATATAATGCATATGCCGGCTAATACATTAGCTCAACGCCTTCAAAGTGCTGAAAAATCTATTCAATTTATTCAACGTGAACATGCACTAACATTGGCAAATCTTCATGAAGAAATTGCTAAATGGCAACAAAAATGTAGTGGTTAGTATTAAATCAATGAATTCTTTCTTTTACAATATCTCATTAAATTTATATTTAGAGCTCACTTTTCAATTGGCAATTGGTGGTGGTACAGTAGTTAATTCTACTGATGATAGTAAGATTTAAACAATAAAAGATGTTGTTTTTTTTATAAATATAATTGAAAATCATTAAAGGTAAACTTCGAGGAACGATTGAACAATTGGAAAATGAAATTCGTCAACACAAAGAAACAATGAAAAATTTAAATAAAATTTTAGAAGAAAAAGAAAGATCAATTAAAGATTATGAAAATCGTCTTGTTGTAAGTGAACGAAAACATGCATTAGATTTACATTCAGAAAATAATAAACAACGACAATTAAAAACTGAACTTGAACAACGTTCAACAATAATAGCACAACTTACAAATCAATTACATCAACAAAAACAAGCACAACAACAATTACAAACTCGTACACGACTTGGAAAAATTATTTTACCAAATAAACCACCAAAAATTCAAAGTATTGATATACCATCATCACAACAACAACAACAACAACATTCACTATCGAATAAAAATGTATTAAATCGTTCATCATCACTCAATACTCGAGTTAATTCTGATCAAGATTTAACAAAAGTTTCATTTGCTAAACGACGACCACCTACACCACCTCAACAATTACGTCCACTATCATCAAAAAGTATTGAATTTGATGATGAACAAAATTATACTAAAAGACAACGTCAATTACTTAACAGTCATGTAGAAAATGTTGATACAAATAAAGTACCAACATCTCGGCCATCAGTTAAACTACAAACTATTTTACCACCTATTATTAATCGTAATATGCCTTTGAAAGCGTTGCCTACAACAACAGTTCAACAAGAAGGTGAAGCATAAAATATTTCATGAATTGATAGAATATTTCTGTGGTATATAATAGATATAATCAAACGAACAATTATTCTAAGTCCTATGTTTTTTCTTTTTTCTTTGTAAAATTATTATATTTTGTCTTGTTGTTTTCCGAATTTCAATAATAAAAAGATTACTTTCGACTATTATACACTTCGAATAATAAATAGTTTTTCTTAGATAGTATCGATAGTGATAAATTAACAAAGCGATAAAATACTTCATTTGTATATAAAAGAAAATATCTATGCATTACTCATTCTCTTATCAGTATTCATAGGACTAAGAATCTAGTCAAATAACTACATGATATATGTACCATGGAAAACATCGATAAAATCAGATAGTTTTGTTTTGTACATTCTTAGCTGTTTCTCGATTTATTGTATTAGAAAAAGAATCATAGATTATAAAATATAAAAAAAAGTAATTATTATCAGTTCATTATTTTTGTTTTAGAATATTTAAATATTATGAATTGTTACATATGATGGCGGTGCTCCTTC